GTGTTTGTGAGATAATTAATAATACAAACAAACAAATAATGACTTATTTCTCAAAGTCAGTGTGAATATATTTGATGCTCTTTAGCTTTGTAACTTTTATAACTGTTCTTAACTATCAAAGTTCAGAAGGCAGAAGCAGGTGTTATGTGTTTATAGTAATATTTAAAACTAGGAGAGCAGCATGGAGGCCTGCTGCTGTCAGGAGGAACAGTTTTACTCCTCCACCATTAAAAGCTGATGAGGCTTTGTTTCCACTCTGCTGGGCGGGTGGGCGGCGTGAACACGATAGTTCAAGATCGATGCAACAGAGCATTTTCAATTTGAAACCATCAGTGCATCTACTGGGACGCTGAGGCCTTTCACCTTTTGAACACGATGAACTAAAATAGTTTTAATAAACAGCATGTGAAAAGTTTTTAATTAAATAACCAAAATTTGTGTCAGGATGAGAAATTCGGGCTTAATTAAACTTCTTGGTGGTGATTTAACCTCAGAATAAATGTGGCAGTGTGAAAACACTCATGTTTAATTACCAGCGAGGTAACAGTTGAACTGGAAATTAATAATGGACGAGCTCTAATGGAGGCCCCGAAATTATTCGGTCACAAAATAATTTCTCTTGCTTGTATCAAGAGTTGCCAGATCATTTCTGTTGTGTTCATCACTTCATAATCTGAGACTCTCACTGACGGCGTCTAATAGACGAGGCTGCATTGAAATGTGTGACTTCTTTGAAAATGTCCAGTTATTTAAATGAGTCATGCTCTCATTTAAATTGTAGTTTCAGCTCTTTGAACTTGAGTTCATGGTTTTATTTCTCTGGGTTCATTTATTCTCTGTATGTTTGTTGATCTCGGCTCTTTCATTCTCCTCAGTGATGCGGACATCCCTCTGGATATGGGCGTTGTGAGCTGCAACTCTCCAGAGACCACTCGAGCAAACACGCCAACGCAGGAAGTGGTCAGCAGCTCGCAGTCGACACCGCCACCGAAGAAAAACAAGGTGGGGCAAACAGAGTCATACCAGAGGAGCTGAGTCACGATTCAGGATAGAAACGATGCAGTGAGGACGACACATAATTTACAGTTATTTTGTCATTTTGACAAACTGTATCAACACAATGGACCTAAAATAACACACAAAACAGAAAAATCAAAGTGGTTTAAAGTAAAATAGGTTTTACAAAATATGTCTAAATGTTTAACAAATTATTTTTATAGCTTGAAGTTTAAATATACATACATGTAAATTAGATTTTTTTACATATATATATATATTTTTTTTTGTTGTTTGTTTGTTTGTTTTTTACAAATTTTGTAAACAAGTTTATCCAACTACTTACATTCAGAAGTGTGTATCTGTTCACAGAACAGTCAGGTGTCAAAATGAATTCACACAAATTATTTGTGCCACTCTGAAAACTAGTTCCTGTTGCCCACAAGACAGAGGGGCACATCACAGGCCTGACAACAGGATGTGTATCACTCCTCCTGTTGTCCACCTGGAGACGGTGTTTACATTGAAGGCTGCCTTTGGTGTTTTTTGTCCAGCTGTAGCTGCGTCGTTGTTTTGACACACTTCACTC